ACAGGACACGCAGCTGCAGCACCTCACGGCGGCAGTGCTGATCGGCAAACGAGAACACCAGCTCAATCTGGTCGAGCGGGCAGCGCGGCCTCTGGCCCCGCAGGATGGGCCGCAGGCAGGTCTCACAGTACAGGTGACCACACGGGGTCTGAACTGCATCGCGGATCACCAGCAGACACACGGGACAGCGTAGATTTTCGCGAACGTCGTCGGCAAACACATGCAGGTAGCCACCCTTCAGTTGAGGCATGGACGTGCGAGTCGCTCCGACCACCGACACAATACCAGCATCCTCTTGCTCTTTGACCAGGTTTATTGCACGCTCATTTAGCAATCGTTCGCTACTGGAGGACGCTGAGGTAGAGGACAATGCGGGTGTTGAGGCACTGATGCCGGGGCGTAGCTGTCCGATGGGTGATGCCGTGCTATCATGTTGTCTTGCTGAAGTCAGAGAGTTTCGCACATGTCTCGAGTAGACACTACCGGCATCACCATAACGCGGGGGTTTCACATCTGCATGGGGAAAGAGGGAAGGGAAAGGAGAGAGAGGGAAGAGAAAAGGAGAGAGAAGAGAAAAGGAGAGAGAGAAGAGAGTGTTATAATTATAATGAGAAAGGGAGAAAGAGAGAGGGAGAGGGAGAGAGAGAGGGAGAGAGAGAGAGAGAGAGAGAGAGAGAGAGAGAGAGAGAGAGAGAGAGAGAGAGAGAGAGAGAGAGAGAGAGAGAGAGAGAGAGAGAGAGAGAGAGAGAGAGAGGAGAGGAGTGGAGAGTGGAGAGGAGAGTGGAGAGGAGTGGAGAGTGAGAGAGAGAGAGAGGAGTGGAGAGTGAGAGAGAGAGAGAGAGAGAGAGAGAGAGAGAGAGAGAGAGAGAGAGAGAGAGAGAGAGAGAGAGAGAGAGAGAGGAGAGGAGAGTGGAGAGTGGAGAGTGGAGAGGAGTGGAGAGGAGAGGAGAGAGAGTGTTATAATTATAATGAGAAAGGGAGAAAGAGAGAGGGAGAGTCC